CAGAAAGCACGAACAATTCACTTTTACAGATATGGACCTTAGATTTAATGTGGCAGTAGCTGAGACTGATCCCCCAATAGCTTCTGAGCTCAGACGGTAGAAGACCTTTGTTTTCAGTTTTGCTCATTCACATTCAACTCCATTTGGACAGTCATCGGTATTTTGAGTGTATTTTTAGTTAATGCTTTACTTAGTTCATATCTTAGATGTTATTACTGTTTTACATTTTATACTTTTGTTGGATGTAACTGGGACCCTGTGTGCACAATTTCATTCCACCACATGTACCGCATGTGATGCGAATGACAATAAAGAACCTTGAATCCTTGAATCACATTATGAGTTCTGTAAGAAAGAATAACAATAAAAAACAAAAAAAAAAACTTCCCATGATGCAGCAGAAACCTTCACATTTAGTGCAGCAAATAAATAAACTGCAAAATACACTTTTTATTTATGATGAACTCAACATTTTCACTGATGGAGTTTGCATCATAGCAAACGTGGCTGAGCTGAGGATGAATAAAAATCAAATCTTAGGACTCGTCATGCCATCAGAATGTAAGTGGGGAGGAGAGCTGCCCCACCCTGAGCAGAAAATGAAACAAAGAGCTGGTGTTTCTTCCGCTGAAATAGAATGACGGCTACAAATTTGACTCTATGGTTTCCAAAACGTCTCGTTGATGTGGACAAATGATGGACGTGTGTTTCTGCACTCAGCAGTTTACGCTGTAGTTGTTGTTGTTTGCAGAAGAACGTTCAGGACTATTGTTCCAGTAGAACCACACATCTAATTTTGGATTTTAATGCAGATTAAAACGCATTGGCGCTTAGTTTAGATTGACTTTTGCATCCATGGTTGTATCACTCTAAAGCAGTGGTTCCCTCAGGTTGCACAGCTGGAACATTTTGAGAGCTGCACTCCTGGAGAATATCCACTGGAGAGCAGGAACATCCTGTAAATAAGCCCTCTGTGTCTGCAGGCGCTGCCGACCCAGAATGAAAACAGAGGAGGGAGATGAGAGCATCATCTCCAGACGTGGAGGATGGTGGTGGTAAATAAACAGTCCATCTCTGAGGACTTGTTCTATTTCAGGAAAAGCCCTTTCAGGCTGACCCGCACAAACACAAAGATGCTTGCTTTTCTTTTTCCGTAAACAAAAAGGATGTTTGTGCCCGGAGGAGAAAAACTGAGAGTGAAACATGAACTACTGACTAAATAAGGAGCTCCAAGAGGCCTTTAAACGACGCAGAGACAGGGAGCAATTCTGAAAGAAAAAGCAGAAATAAAAGCAAGATTATCTCAACTGGGCTTCACTTCCTGGATGAATGACATGCACAGGCACCAAACAGACTTTCTTTGTTTCCCCCATCAACATTTTCTTTAAAAAGTCTTTTTTCTCTGTTTGTGTAGTTATGAATGATTAATGGGGATTATATAAGAGAACGGTGGTGATACGAGAAAGTAAAAGGAGCTTTTAGAAATCCATGGCATCAATTATTTACATATACAACGACACCAACATGTCTAACATGTCATTTTATCTCAAATATTGATGAGTTAATAATTAATTTTTTTTGTGATGCATGCCCTCAAAAACATCTACAATCCACAAGTTCCTCTTAAATAATTTAAAACTCATTGTCCTTAGATAGAGAAGATGAAGTGTGCCGAGTTTTTCTGCCCTTGTAGCATCTGAACGTTTCTAAATCCGTTTTAGACGTTTAAATCTTTAACACCAATGAGTTTCGACAACTAATTAAAACCTTGGCATCTCAGGGAACTGCTGCAGAGACTAATTTTATTTGCTTATTTTATACAAGTTAAAGAAGTTTGGAAATATCAATCAATCAATAAATCTTATCTTAACAAGTAAAGATCCACTCAAAGCCAAAAGATCTCTGGTTTGATCATCAGTGCTAAATTACATGAAATAAATGCAGAACAGTGGAAACAAGCTATACAGCTCATGGAGAGAGCTGCTCCTGTGCTGCCCTCTAGTGGCCACTATGTGCAAGTGCACGCCTCCATACTGCAGAAAACAGTTGCATTTTTTTTTTTTTTTTTTAAAAAGGCACTCATAACGCGTATAATCCAAGTAAAATGATCTATTTTACAAAGGAACTAAATATAAATATATATAAGAAATTGTATCCATGCAACATGCCATATAAAACTAAAACAGCACTCATTGCCCATAGGCTGATATAGAATCACCCCCTAACATTATAGAAGCAACAATTTAAAAGCAGTCTGATCGATCAGAGGAGAACTGTATGCACAAACTTCAGAATGCACAAATATTCAGGCTGTTTGAATTCTCTGACAATGCATTATTTTTAACGTAAAAATCCCTCGCTAGTCAGATTTTGTTGTCCAGGGAAGGATAGCACCTTGTCATTTACAGTGATTTATAAGTGGCTTAGTGTTTACTTCTTGTGCTTCCAAACAACAAAGTTATAGTTGCTCTATGATGCGACCATGTTCAGTGAGCATAAAACTGAGCAAGATGCACAAAACAGACTTTTATGTTGGTCATAATCAAAATGTTCACGTCGTGATGGCTGTCACCAGTTGGTCTACTGTTGAGTTGATGGTCCTCCTTTTGCAGATGAACAACTAGTACTGGGTGTCAGCAGCAAACTGGTTGGACCACTATGACAAGATATTTATGAGAGTGAGTTTCAGACTGATAAAGTCTTTTGGATAAAACGATTCAACACAGAAGAATCTGTCCAGATGACCTGACTTAACCTTGTTACAAACCATAGATTTAATGGTTCATGCTGTAGTTCATATTTATGCTGGAGCCTGTGCACACAGCACAAATAAATCCCATTAACGTCACCCTTCATGCTTTTCTCCATTCACATGTGTAATGCAATAAATGTGAGAACTGATGGAGATACTTCTACAATATCTACTATTTCAAACTCATCTGTAGAGACTGCACTTTAACATTCATATGTCTTTTACAACCTCGTGTCTGCTGGAGGGAGCTCTGTTTCAACATATAGATGGTTATGACAGAGGGATGGGCCTCACCATCTCTTCCAACACGTAGTGATCAAAGACACTTTGGTATCAAGAGAGTTCACCCCAGAATAGCAACACTTGAGTAAAGGGGTGTGTGTGTGTCTTTGGGTGGGGAAGGAACTTTATTGATTAGCATAAATGATGTAACATGTTTTGTTTCACGTAAAAATTGACGAGGAAGCGTCTCTGACCCAACAAGTTGTGTAAATATGGCAACTCAGGCATTTTTTATATATGTATATAGCTGAGGGCAAACCCAAACACACTGCTGTCTCATTAACAATTCCATACACAATTCAGCTGCTTTCAGCTAATTTCAGCTGTTTTTTCCCCCCAACTGTTTTGTGCTTCTTTCAACTTCATTCAGCTAAGTCCAACATTTTTGTGCTTCTTGTAACTTATTTCTGTTAATTCCATATTCTTCTGCTTCTTCCAGTTTATTTCTGCCAAATTCAGCTATTTCAGCTACTATTTAGCTTTCTTTTTTTTTTTTTTAAGGCTAAATTCAGCTTTTTCAACTAAATCCACATTTTTGCAATCATTTCAACTTTTTTCAGCCTAATTCAGCAAAATCATGTTCTACCCACTTCCTTCTGGCAATTTAAGCTTCTTTCTGCTTGTCTACTTCAGCTGTTTTGGATCAATTTCAGCTTTTTTCATATAATTTCAACAGTATTGTGCCAATTTCTGCCTTTTTCAGCCTTAGTGAGCACAATTAAACTCACATCACTTCCTTTTGAAAATTTAAGCTTCTTTCTTCTTGTTTTAGCTACTATTCAGCTGTTTTTGACCAATTTGACCTTTTTTTTTCATATAATTTCAACAGTTTTGTGCTTCTTTCAACTTTATTCAGCTAAGTCCAACATTTTTGTGCTTCTTGTAACTTATTTCTGCCAATTCCATCTTCTTCTACTCCTTTCAGTTTATTTCTGCTAAATTCAGCTATTTCTGATACTATTTAGCGTTTTTAGGCTAATTTCAGCTTTTCCAACTAAAGCCACATTTTTGCAATCAAATCAACTTTTTTTCAGCCTAATTCAGCAAAATCATGTTCTACCCACTTCCTTCTTGCAATTTAAGCTTCTTTCTGCTTGCTTTAGCTACTATTCATCTGTTTTCGACCAACTTTTTTCACATAATTTAAACGGTATTGTGCTAATTTCTGCCTCTTTCAGCCTTAGTGAGCACAATTAAGCTCACTTCACTTCCTTTTGAAAATTTAAGCTTCTTTTTACATTTCTTTAGCTACTATTCAGCTGCTTTTGGGGAAATAGAAGTTTAAGTCCAGACTGAAAACGTATCTATTCTCTTTGGCCTTCAACCTCAAATTAGTACCTCATTGATTCGAGTTTTGGGGAAATTGCAGCAAATATGTACTAGTTTGTCTTGATTTTTATTAGTACTATTATTTTATTGTTTTTTTTACTGTAATTTTTTTAATCACTTTTATTTGTATTAAACTCAAATTTATTTTATCATATTTTTATCTACGGCGTTGTAATTCTTGTGAAGCACTTTGGTCAGCTTTTTAAATAAACTTTGAATGGAATTGAAGTGAAAAATTTCAGATTTTTTAAGATAATTTCCACTTCTGCTAACTGAACCCTTTGGTTTCACTGCGCATGCTCACAAGACAAGAACCTGACAAGTTGTTTCATGACATAAAATATATTTTGTTAGCAAATAATAGAGTCCTAACATTTATTAAACATTACTTCTGTATTTAAAAAAAACAATATTAAAATTGTACTTTGACAAACTCATCGATGAAACTAAAAAAAAATGTCGTCAACGCGGAAGAGGAACAGAGGGGCAGGTGTCGCTCTCGCTTTGAGTGTGTACTCTTTGTCGCGTGCGCGCTGTGGGTGACAAGCGTCCAGAGCGTCATAAAAACAGCAGCTGAGGAGGTGTTGGAGTTACTTCTCTGTCGTCGCAGCTGCGGAGGGGAGCGAACCGATCAAGCATGGCTCCCCAAACGACCGCGTCATGCACCGGATCCACTCTGCTCCAGCCCGTCAGCGAAATCATAAACCTCCCCGTCGACCAGGTTTGTTTTCATAATCATACAAATGGCGCGTTAATAAACGTAAATTTAACGTTTGTTCTGGTCACTTCTTCCTCCAGTTTGTAGTGCATCCAGCGTAAATTACGCGCTTACCCAAAATAAACCGAAAATAAATATAAATTATGATGACGTCCTCCTTTGATGCCCAGAGGCGTTTCAAACTTGGCTCAGTCTTCGGCTCCGCTTTTCATCAGGACCCCAGCAGAAATTTGACTTTTATGTTCTACAAACAACCAGACCCTTCTAATATTAAATTGGTTTAATTAAAGTATGATAAAATTATTTTGGCGTTATCTTCTCCCATATTAACTTTGGGGTTCTTGTTTTTGCAGTTCTGTGCAAATTCAGTCCTGTTATGATAATTAAATATTTTTCCTGAGTGCTGAGTAACTTGTGTACGTGTGACAAACCTGAAAGGACTTCATTATGGTAACGGATGGGATACATGCTGATCTCGTGCTGCTGATCTCATGCTGCTGATCATTTCACGTTGCTGTGTTCATTAGTCCTCATCTGCTCACACAGACTCGTGTTCGTGCTGCTGTTGTTTTGGCACATTGTTTTTGTTTTAGTGTATTCTTAGTTTAGTGAATGTGGTATATTCTTAGTTCATGACTCGAGTCTTACTAATGTTTTTTCTTTACAATTTGAATTTTTGTTGGATGTAAATGGGACCCTGTGTGCATTGTTTCGTTCCACCTCATGTACCACATGTGATATGAATGATCGTAAAAATCCTTGAGATGGATAGATTATTAATCCCAGTGGGGAAATTTGACGCATCCAGTACATTTTCTATATGTATGGTAGGTAGTAGGGATGCACAATATTATCGTCATGGTATCCGTATCGGCCGATATCGGCGATAAAGTTAAATATCGGACATCAAAATAACTCACTGATATAAGTCTTCTGTTTTAAGTAAATTTTTAATTTAAGAAACTGTCAAGTATATCTATTAATGCACTACGTATGCGCTTTTCACTTGTCGCTTGTGAACAAGTTGAGTTTAGATTTGTGAAAATTTACAAATTTGCACTGTTCGAGTGTTCTCATTGTGTTAGAGAGAGGAAATGTCATGAATAAATTTGACATTTAAACATAATCCAAGTTGAAGTGTTGCATCATTTTCAGCCCCCTTTTTGGCCTCTGCATTTGATAGCAGGTCAAATCGACAAAGGTCATGCAGAATAATGTAGTAGTCCACAGCAGAGAAATCTCTGTAGTCTCTGCAAGTAGGTCTAGGAAAACAAATATCAGTATTGGTATCGGTTATCAGCCATTAAAAAAATATATATATCGGCATATCGGATATCGGCCAAAAATCCAATATCGTGCATCCCTAGTAGGTAGTATGTGTTATTTTTTTTTGTATTTTTTTTAAATTTATTTAATCAACTACAACTTGCAAAATGAGCACATTTACTTTTTAAATAACAGCATATGACTTTCTCTTTCCACCCAGAGCACATTATATGAATAAAACATAGGTTGTATCCGAGTGTGTACGAAGGATTTTACCCCTTTAGGCGAACGAGTGTCAGGCTGGTCAGGTTTAGGTTGTTTATTCATAAGGTGTTTCTTGTTAGATGTTTTGTTTTTCCAATGCAACTATGTAACTCGTTCAGTGGCAGAATCGCTCCAAAGATCAGAATTGGAAATTAATCAAACTTCTTCACATACCAAAGATTATTTTTTTTTTTTTGAGTTTGTCACCCAAAGTGTTCAGAGTGTTAGGAAGAGAGTTTTCTCCGTTATAGTATGGTAAATATTTGAAGTTGTATTAAAAAAAAAAAAAAAGATGTTGGTTACTTTGACCTTGACGTCCTTTTCAGGGACACCACCAAGTCATTGGTTCAGGTATGTTGACGACACCTGGGTTAAAATCAAATCTCAGGAAGTCCAGCATTTTACCGACCACATCAACTCTGTGGATAAATACATCAAGTTCACACGAGAAGATGTAAAAAATGGCAAGTTGGCTTTCTTGGACTGTGAGGTCTCAGTTTCTGATGGAGGACTTTTGCAAACAAACCCACACACACAGACCAGTATTTGCAGTTTGACTCCCATCACCGTTTGGAGCACAAGTTAGGAGTCATCAGGACTCTGTATCACAGAGCAGACGGCGTCCCCACTAGCTCAGGAGCCAGGAAGAAGGAGAAATCCCACACAAGACAGATGTGGATATCCTAACTGGGCCTTCCTGAAAGCAGAGAAGAAACCCAAACAGGACTCCAGTCAGCCAACAGGTGAAAATGAGGAACCCAGACCCAGACCAGTGGTCATTCCATATGTTGAGGGAGTTTCAGAGAATCTGAGACGTTTATTTTCTAAACATAACGTCCCAGTGTCTTTTAAACCCCAAAATACATTACGGCAAAGACTGGTTCAACCCAAAGATCCAGTCCCCCGGCACAAACAGAGCAATGTTGTGTATGTTGTTCAGTGTCAGGAGGGCTGTGATCAGTCTTACATCGGGGAGACAAAACAGCCACTGGCCAAAAGGATGGCCCAGCACAGAAGCTCAGCAACATCAGGCCAGGACTCTGCGGTCTACACTCATCTCCAGGCCAGCGGTCACTCTTTCAGGGATGAAGATGTTCACATCCTGGACAGAGAGGAACGATGGTTTGAGAGAGGAGTAAAAGAGGCCATCTTTAAGATAACTTGTCAATCATTAAACAGGGACGGGGGGTCTCCATGTTCAACTACCACCCTCTTACAATGCTGTTATTGCTAGTATCACTCAGCCCCCTATGAATAGCAAGTGGCCATCAGGCCACTACAACCAGTTGTTAAGCTGATAGTTCTCCTTTTACATGTGAATAGCTAGCTCTGGCTGTCAGCAGCAAACTGGTTGATCCACTATGATATTTAAAAGACTGAGCTTGCTGAATAAGTCGTTTTGGAGAAAAGCCAAAACGTTTCAACAAAGAAGAATCTGTCCAGAGGACCTGACTTAACCTTATTAGATTTATCTACCTATATTATTGAACATGCATCAGGACAGACCTATTATTTTCCTCACTGTTTGACATTAAATCAAACTAAACATCAGGATTGCAATGGCAGGTGATGATGTCACGACTTTTGAAGCTCTTGATAGGTAGTCCAATAATGATCAATCGGGTCATCTGGACTGTTTCTTGATTGTGGAAAGACGTTTCGTCCTTTATCCAGAGGGCTTCATCAGTCTGAGGAGTTCCAAGTAAACCACTTTCCCCACTAAGCAGTACACTCTTTTAGTGGACCAACCAGTTTGCAGGTGGTAAGATGGTTTCTGAGGGCTGTCCTGTCCCCCGTCGACTCCTCCCAGGCAGGCAGCCACAGCCAAAGTGGTTCAAGACATCAAAGTTCATGCTCGGTCATCCAGGTACAAAATCCAGTATTGGTTAGTCAGGTTATCTGGGTAGCTTCTTTTTTCTTTTAATTCAAATGAATAGTATCGAGAGGAATGAACATTATGTGGAAAAATTGATGCAACATGGGTCTTTCACACAGACAATGACTCCAAACATACAACCAGATTAGGCACAAAGTGGCTAAAAGTTTGTTTTGGAGTGGCTTTCACAAAGTCCTGATCTCAGTCCTAATAGAAAATGTGTGGGCAGACATGAACAGGTGTATGACCAAATACTTTGATACTGATGACGGTGACGAGCATTTCTCTAAAAAAACCAAAACATTTTGTCTTTTAGCAAATGTAAATCATTTTAGGACTCCTAACTGACCTAAACCAGGAAGGGTTTAATCTGATTTAATGCCAGACAGTGTGAAATAAAAACAAGATTATTCAATGTAAATATCTGATTTCAACTGTATTCATTTCCTTAGTGTTTGTTTTTATCACTTGTAGGCTCAAGGTTCAAAATGTCTGGTGTGTTTTGTTCTGCAGAAGTGCATCCATTGAGCCATGGCATCATTTTACACAACACTTTTTGTTTTATCTGATATTTAAACACCGGTTCACACATCTCCATTAGCATTTTATCTTTTTGATGCAACTTCCGAATGGAAAATTCAAAACAACCCAGCTGAATGGCCCTGACCTGCCAGAAACGAGCTTTTTATAGTTGGATTTTGCAATGTGTAATCGGTTTTTATTAGCTCGGGAACCTGACAAACACGAAAACTTGTGCTCCACTTGCTCTGGCATCTGGATGCTCTCCTATTTAAACAGGTTTTTACCGGATCTTGACCCTGTGGGGCCAATCAGTGTTTTTTTTTTTTTTTTTACAGGTTTGATGTGCTGACTTCACGCTCTCTGACTCATGCAAAGACGCCAACACCACCTGTTTGTGCAGCTTTGTACTGTCTTGAATCAAAACACATTAAGTTCTGAATCTGCTGGTTCTGTTGCGTGCTCTTGGCAGCAGTCAAAGACGACGACGACTAGACTTGATCTCTTTATGAGCAGAACTACAGGATGCCTCAGAGGAGCATGGAAGTTTCCACCTCATTATTGGGGGAGTCGGTAAACGGGTAGCGTGTTGGCGAGGAATTTCTTTGAGGTTTCACTTAAGATGCAATCAAATGTCTTGTTGTAAAATGAAATGAAAATTAAACGATCAGTTCAGTGTTCGCCAGGTAGACAAATTACACAAACTAAACTTAAAAGGAGCTCAGAACATCTTTCTGCACCCGCCCACCATGCTAACATTTGTCTGAAGCACCTGATTTGCTTCCTGGTCATGTGACTTACAACACAAACTTCTTCTTCTTTTTGCAAAATTACAAAACCATCAACAGGTCTCTAAACATCTGACGTGCATCCATACGCACTCGTGAAGCCAAAAAGAAGAAACAAGCGTAAAGAATTGTGTTGCAAGTCATAATCATTGCAACAGTCGTAAATGATATAGGTTTTTATGATGCCCAGCAGCAATACTGGGGCGGCTGCTGAGTGGTTATTGCAGTCATCCTCCAATGGGAGAGTTGCGGGTTCGATTCCACCAGCAGTCACATGTTGAAGTGTCCCT